CCTGAAGTCCGCCGCGGGCCTCCGCGTCCTCAACGACTTCCTGGCCGACAAGAGCTACATCGAAGGGTGAGAGGTGGTGTGGGGGGTGCGGGGAAGGTGCATCGGGCCTGGCGGAGACAAGCGGTGGTGACGCGGGAGGGCCCTGAGTCACCCCGGCAGCTGTTCGGGCGGCGCTGTTCGGTGGCCGCCGCTGCTCCACGTGTTCCTGCGTGCCCCGAGCAAGGGACTTAATTTGGCTTGTTCTTCGCAGGTACGTTCCTTCGCAGGCTGACATCGCAGTGTTCGAAGCGATCGCTGCCCCGCCGCCTGCAGACTTGTTCCATGCTCTCCGGTGGTACAATCATATTAAGTCGTATGAAAAGCAAAAGGCAAGGTATGGTTAAACTCCGAAACTGTAATATTTCCCCGAGCTAGCCTTCAAAATGTTGCGTTTGTTTTTCCGAGTTTGCATAAAACTGATTTCCAGTGGCACAACGTGGCATTTCACGTTGTTGGAACACAAACAGCTCCGGAAATAGGGCAGATCTCTTCTGTCAGTACGGAGGACAAAGTTAATGATTTGCAGTACCGAAGGACACGGAAGGAACAGGAGATATGAAAGGAAATAGAATCTCTTTTTTCTTTCAGTGGTTTTAAGTGTTCGTGAAAGGTGCTGTATTGACTTCCATGGAGATTGCAGGCGCCTCTGAAAAGGTACAGCATAGGTAGGGTCAGTATTGCTACACTGCTTTCTCTGAGCCTCAGTGCTTTTTGGAGGAAACTTAAACAAGTGAAAGTAGTTCTAGGAAAGCATGAACAAGAAGTTGGTAATTCCTCCTAGACAGAACGTAGTGCAGATAAAGGATAAAATGAAGCTTTTCCTATCCATGTACTTAGTTGGGCAGGATCATACCAGCATTGATGAGCTACAGTAAATCCCATATTCACAGATTGCTCAGCTGCCATGTCAGGAGCTTTGGGGGTTTCACGAGGTTCTGATTTCAGGTAGAATTGGAATTTTACTCTTTTTAGCACAAGGTTTTCATTACAAATGCATTTGTAGGTACACTGATAAGCTGGCAGTGATTGTATTGATGTTTGAGTAGGTTCCTAATACCTGCATTTTTCTTTCAGCTTGCCAGGAGTAAAGAAGGCTTTGGGAAAATATGGTCCTGCTGATGTTGAGGACACAACAGGTGCGGCCACAGATAGCAAAGATGATGATGACATTGACCTTTTTGGATCTGATGATGAGGAGGTACTTGTCACCTTTTTGGTATTATTTTTATTGCTTTTTAGAAATTAACACAGGTATGCAGATTTTCACCTTGACTTAGTTGAAGTTATTTATATTTCTGACCTTCATAGCAGGTCCTACTTGAAATCCTCAACTATAGTTATCTTTGCAGAATAGGAGAGCTTGGAAGGTAGAAACTCAAAAGGTTGAAAGTAATGTGTCAGAATGGGGTGAACTGTCCAACTCTGACTGGTCGCATGATGAGCAAAACAAAAAATCACCATCTTTCGGCTGACAGTTGTGATGATTTGTTTTTATCTGAGTAGATGCCAGTCAGTTTGGTAGTGCTTTGGAGATGCAGAGGTTTGGTGCTTTTCTGTAACTGCAGATTTCTCTTTCAGGAGAGTGAAGAAGCAAAGAAACTGAGGGAAGAACGTCTGGCCCAGTATGAATCAAAGAAGTCCAAAAGTACGTGTGCTGAGAACTTGCTAATCTTTTACACTTGATGAGTTAATTTTCATGCATTTGAGTAGGATGGCTAGAAACACTAATTAACTGTAATAACAGTTCAGTTTGACTGGAATGAGACAGGAGTAATGAGCTTCACTTGAATTGTCAATGAGCTCAGCCTTCCCATAGCAAATAGGAATGTTAACATGGTTTTTGTTCTGGTTCAGACACTCCTGCTTGTTCTTTCCAGAGATTGAGCTTTCTGTAAATGGAGACAACACAAAGATTTTCTTTAAAAGTTTAGAGAAACTGCTGCACTACACAAGTTACTCCACAGCTACTGGACTGGAACTGTTCACAACTGTAGCAGTTGCAGTATTCCCTCTGTGGAAAATTAACTGTTACACAGCATTAGGCTCCTTCTCGGATGTTCTGAAAAGGACTTCCTATGTAACAGACACTGTCAGCTACTTAAATCTGTGTGTACATAATGTATCTACATACTGAATGTTGGGGTGTACACAGCTGCAGTTCTTCTGAAATGTACATTGGTACAAGAAGCCTGTCACAGCAATGTGAGCAGGAAATTATTAATAAGGTGCTCTTGTGAAATCAGTTTGCAAGTATATTCATGAGGTTTTGAAAGATTCCTACCTTTTCACGGCAATTTTCTTCCCCCAGAACCAGCTGTTGTTGCCAAGTCATCAATCTTGCTTGATGTGAAACCTTGGGATGATGAGACAGACATGGCCAAACTAGAGGAGTGTGTTCGAAGCATTCAAGCAGATGGCTTGGTCTGGGGATCTTGTAAGTATGGGGAAATTCCAGAGCAGGGAGAGGGAGGGAGAGTGCAGGCCCTTGGGGGATACTATATGAGTAGTTGAACTTGTGGTCACTGCTGATCTCTGAAATGCAGGTAGCAGTAATGTGGGAACTGCAATCCTGCAAGTACTTCAGTGTCTTTATATGGTCAGAAAAGGTGTGTATTAGTGTAGCAGCCTGGTTAAAACCTGATTCAAATACAGGTTTTAAAAGCTGCAGAATTTAAACTCTGCCATCCTGCATCTCCCTGTACAATTCCTGATGCAGTAGACACCTTTACCCACCCACATCACTGGCTTGGGGAAGGGGTGGAGGTCCACAGAGAGAAACTTTTTCAGTCAGTTGTAATGAATGCTGGGTTGTTAATTAGATTGTCCATAATATGGACTACAGGCTGTTTTTACATATTCCTGCAAATTGCTTTGGTCAGTTCTTGGTTTAATTCTTAGTTTAAGACATTCATCCAATTAAGGAGTACTGAATGTTTTTTTTTTTATTTTGCAGCCAAGCTAGTACCTGTTGGCTATGGTATCAAAAAGCTTCAGATCCAGTGTGTTGTTGAAGATGATAAAGTTGGAACAGATATGCTGGAAGAAAGAATAACAGCTTTTGAAGATTATGTACAATCAATGGATGTAGCTGCTTTCAATAAGATTTAAGTCTTGATATATCTAGAATAAATGTTGTTGCAAAAAATGTGCCGTGTCTGTGCTTGTTTCAGAATCTTAAAGTAATCCAGCTCACAAATGGGAGGTTTTCTTAATGGGTAAAGTAGAAGCTGAAACCAAATTTCAAGGCTGTTCTGATGCCTCACTGTAGTACCCAGGAGCATGAGCAGAGCATCACTTCAGAGTTAACCATACCATGGCTTTAAAATACTGAAATGCTCTTTCCTCCCATCTTTGGAGGGAATTGCTTCTTTGGAAATGTCTGGGATTCCACTGGAAGGAGGGATGAACGAAGGGAAAGAAGCAGAGCTCAGTCAAAGTGCAGTGTTTTAGTGAGTGAACATTAAGAATTCCCTTTGTGTAGGTAGGGTGGTGACTAACCAAATGTACCATGGCCTTTGTTACTAGCTAAAGTTAGTGAGGGAGTGAGAGGAAGCTCAAGTGACTTGCAGTGCTCTAGAGATAAGGCCTGAGCCTACCCTGGTACCTTGTCACTTGTTCTGTATCATTTGGAATTTTTTCTTTTTTTCTTTCTCCTCTGTGAGGCGTGGAAACACTTGCAATGAAATAACGTCGAGTTTTGTGTCTAACAAAGCAGATAATGCTGCCGGCGCCGCTTCCCTGCGGGGCGCGGCTGGTGCCTGTGGGCGGCGCTGCGAGCCCAGCGCTGCCGGCGAGCGGCGCCTGCCCAAGGAGCGGGGCAGGATCGGGAGTTACCCACGGCTGCAGCCGCTGCAGGGATCTGTAAAAAGTACCTGTAAAGGATACGAAAAGTAGTGAAATTAACAGCGGTTTGAGCTGTTTACTCAGCTCTAGATTGGTTTCTAGATTGATTTTGGCATTTATCGATTGAAGAGCCTATCAGGAATAAATGCCAAAAACTCTCTATAGGAATGATACAAATGTAGAAGCTGTCAAAGCTGTGTAGCTTTTACACAAATTCATAATGCTAGGCCTTGCATTGGACTGACAGGATTTGTGACCATGAAATGGAATCCTTTCATGTGCTGCATTGGTCACTCTGAGATGAAGATTCCTGGTGTCCAAATCTGACAGCAGCAGCTTAAGTAACTCTCTTGCTGTTCTCACAGAGCATCTGTGTGGTTATCTGGCACAGCAGGCTCTGTTTCTCCTTGTTTAAGGGTCTGCCAACTTCAGATTATGTAAGAGCTTTGTTTATAATTTGTCTCAGAAAAAAAAAATTAAAATCTGCCTGCTAGAGGCTTAAAGCACTACTAATGATCTGAAAGTGGGTATTGTTTCAGGCTCACTTGCCACCTTCCATAAACCTAACTCCTAAACAGTACCCTTTCTGTGGCAATTCTCTAGCTGTTGCTTCTGCTAAATCATGTAGCTTAGTTTTACCAATTCTGTCATGGTGCTGTTAAAAGCAAGAAACTAGCAAACACCATATCAGAAAAATTATTAAAAATTCTGCCTCAAAAATCCAGATTTTATTATCTTGGCCATCACTGTTTCTGATCTCCCGTTCAATGTGCTGCTTACCTTGAGATTCTTTTCTTGGCTTCAAATTAAAGCCCTCATTAGTTGAAATGGTTTGATTTATAGATGGTAACTTTGTTAAAATACAGACATGAGTGATCCATGTGACCTGCCAGACTGGATTTGTGTGTGTTACATTTATGCTAAGCAGTCTGGTACAAACTCAGGTTCTTGAGATTTCTTGTGTGTTGGGTTTTGGCAGGTTGTGGTTTTTTTTTTTTTTCTCCCTGATATTAAAAAGAAAGATGCACAGAAACGAAAGAAACAAACAAACAAACAAAAAAACCTAGAGAGCACAGTGTTTCCAGTGAAAAAATAGGTGGGTATCTGGGCAGGAGTATTCCATTCAATCCATATACATTTTTGTTAGGTGTTTTTGGGTAGTGTTTGGGTATGTGCTGGTATATTTCTGTGTCATTGAGCCTGTGAAAAATTGGAACCCTGGAATAAATGAGGCAAGTATCCCAAGTGCATCTTGCAACAGAGAGAACAGTAGAAAACTCCATGACTTCAATGCATTCTATATGGGAGTACTGGGAAAACAGTTTTAATAAAAACCGATCTACATTAAATCCTTCAGAAACACAAACTGCCCAGGAAGAAGATAAAACTAACTAGAACCTGTCCATTATGAAATGTGTCAATAGCTATTTCTGTAGTATCTCTTTGCATGATGACAGAGATTCCTTTCCATTTTCTGGCCCTTTTTTTCCACCGTGCTGAGTTGAATGAGCATTCTTCAGTCCAAGCATTGTTGGTACTGTTTTGGATACTCTTTGGAAACAGAAACTTAGAGCATTATCTGTTCTGTTTAGACATCTTGCATTACTCTTGGAGAAATGAGTTAGATAATTCTGTAACTGATCTTGGTGTGAACGATAGCAGTTACATTGCACAATTGTTAATCCACTTAATGCCATAGATCAAAGCTGATTTTGGCCTTATCCAGTTCTATCCCATCTCTTACTCCTGCCTGCTTCAGAACACACTTTCTGATCCTTTATGCAAGATGAGACATAGATGCTCCCCAGTTGGAAAATCAGTCTCTGCGCTGTACATAGGAACATGTGTGTGCAAGAAACATGTGAAGAAATGTGACATGAACCTTAAATCCCATAGTAGAAAGGGCCAGGGCTTGATTTCACCTTCCAAAATTTTTGGGAGGGAGCTGCTATAATAAAAGCCAGTCACCATACATTGCTGCTAAGAAAAGCAAATGAACATGCTCTTCGGAAACAACAAAATTTTATTACTTCACTTGTACTACAGCCAAGAAAGTACATCATTCTTAGAAAGATGTTAGGGAACATGTGAAGAAAAACTGCAAAATGTTTGATTTAGGCACATACAGCAGCGCGGTGCCAAAATATTATGATGAGCAACTATGTACCAGGCAGCAAATTACTCAAAGGAAGAACGCTGCTTACCAGCTTTCCAGCCCAAAAGGAAATACACTGAAATTCCACTGATCCTGCCTGACTCTCTCAGACTCTGAAACTAGAGCCCAAAGAAATAGTTACAGACCAGAGTCAGGCTTTTTCTATTTGTGCAGCTACCAATATCGGATGTACTCAAGCATGTATACATATATATATTTTATACAAAAGCAAATCTATTTACATATAAGGCCTCAATTATAGCATAAATGCTACTAATGTGTTGGCAGGCCATATAAACTAAGTAAATTATATGAAAGGCAGCTTTATTCTCTATGCCTAGGCCAATAACTAGGAAAAAACAGTTCAAATTTACCCAAAGCTCTATGCTTTTACTTTCAGTGGAGTTTTGTCCCACATTCAACTTTTTAATTAAGTGGTATTGCATCAGAAATTGGTTCACTCCACATAGCATATATATATATATATATATATATATATATATATTTACATTGGTGCATGTGTGATTCTGCAGCAATCAACAAGTTGGAACGGAACACAGCAGAACTGGGACTACTTCATCTTTCTTATGGGAGTGGACTCCATTTCCTGGATGAACTGTCTTGCCTCTTATTTGGAAAAGAAGTCCAAATTTGGCTAGAGACTTGTAACAGAAAACTGATGAATTCACTCCACCCATTTTTTTAGCTTGACATTAGGGCAAACAAAATGTTATATTATTTCTTTACCTTTGCTTGAAAGAGAAATAAAGAGCAATCAATAGTTGAAAACCTCTGTAGTACTAAAATTTTAAACATAGAAAAATAAGTGTGGCACAGAAGCTGTAAGAAATATTTTCACTAATTCTTTGCACATTGTGAATGAACCTAATATCTATATGAAACATCTGCTCAGTATTTTGCACCCAGCTGGTGTTAAAAATACACTGTTACCAGAAAACACAGGGTCTCTTGTCTTAGTTTTGAGTGTAAGATAAAGAACATTGGGAGAAGACAGTGGTTTTTTCCATATATTTCTTTTTTTGTCAATAGAAGGCAGCAATTCAGTGTTCTCCATCTTGAGATTCTTCTCCAGCTGCAGATCAGAGCCACTGATAGCTTCATTTAGGTGTGTGGCCAGGAGATTCCTGCTTGGGGCAGTAGCAGGCAATCAGGAGACTCATGACCCAGTGATGTATGGCCACAGCCTCTTTGATGAGAATGCCTCAATTAAGAAAGGTATCAGCAATGGCAAGGAGGATTATTTTTATTATGTGTTCTTTTGATATCAGCGAGGTATGGAACCACAGCAAACCAACAGGATTGCAATGATAATCCTCACCAAAAGCCCAGTTATATGCTGATAACCTTCAGTTCAGGCTGGATGTGCACTGCAAGGGCACACATCCAAATCACGTGTCCCTCAAAAACCCTTCAATTCAAGCAGCAAGTGCAATTAAGCCAGCTGTTTACAGAAACCTGTATATGTAAAGATGCACATCTGACTGGCAGATGCGAAGTCAAGAACACCTCCAAGTCTCCTATCAGCTCTTTTGGAGAGAGCTGGTGACACGAGCAGTCACTGGGCAGTTTCACAGTAGTGCACAGGCGCGTTGTCTGAGCTCCACAGCTGCTCGCTGACCGTTCCCGAGCGGCTCATCTCCCACAGGGCCAGCTTCAGCACCTCAGACACTGTGCTCTTGACCTGGGCTTGGAACTTTTTGCTAATCAGAACGTAGAGGATTGGGTTGAGGCAACTGTTGATGAAACCAAGGCCAGTGGAGAGGGGAATGCCATCCTGTAGTAAGTCATGCAACTTTTCATCATGGTGAGCAGACAGCTCCACAATGCTGAATATGTGATACGGTGTCCAGCAGACAAAAAAAGCTACAACTACAGCAGTGATGGTCCAGAAAAGCCTGCTGGAAGTCAATACAGTTCTCCTCTTCACTTTGACAATCAGCAGTGAGTAGCAAATAACCATGGTCACTAAAGGAAAGAGGTAACCAAATGCAAGCCTCACCCAAATGAGAATGTGATGTGTTAGCAAAATAAGTTCCCTGTCATGCACATGGAAGTTGTTGTAGCAAATGGTGACATTGTTGAGAACTGTAGCTGTGTCTCTAAAGTATAAGGCAGGGCCACCAATA